GGGGGCGGGCCGCGGCGTGGCAGCTCCCTTGGGCCACCAGGAGATGCGAGCGACGGCAGCGCACGCCACGTGACGTGACGTGACGTGACGTGACGTGACGTGACTCGACTCGACTCTACTCGGATCAGGGAACGGATCTGACTTCACAGAGGGGAGAGGAGTGGGCGGCCGGAGGAGGACAGCCACTACCGCTGCCATGACATAAGCTTACTCTGTGATCCAACGGGCAAGGAGACCTACTGCCTTGAGCAGTTGTTGCTCCTGTTCCCGGCAAATCCATTCCAGGAAGGTGCTCAGTTGCGTCCCTTAATTAGCCTGCATTATTACGCTTGGCACTACTGCCACCTTTGGTTGTGCTAGGACCAGGCAGAACACAAAAGACCCGTTTAGTAGCAAAAACGAACGCTTTGCAACGTAATACACCACTCCTCTGGGATGCTCAGCTTAAGCAATGTGCTGCCTCATCTCCAGGCCCCTCAAGTCCTTCACTTGCTGCACTGAATTACGGTTTCCTATATTTGCAGGAAGAGACCTGCTGCACTGTTCCTCTTGAGGTTTTCTTATACTTTGGCGCTGACATATTCCAAAAGTAATCCACCAAAATTAGAGGTTGAGCAAAACAGAAAACCAGACTGATTTAGCACAAGATTCTGCTTCTGTATCAGCAGCGTACATACCTGGCTGGAACTCTGTGTAACTTACTGACTTCAAGCTTATAGCTTATCAAATCTTGGGGGAAATACATATAACCTGGGGGTATTAGGAGATATTCGCTGTCTTTGAACATCACTAAATACACTCGTAGTCAGTACAGGTGCCCTTTTTGTGACTGCTCTTTAAAAATTGGCCAAGGAAAATAAACCGATGCAGAGAGTCTCTGGTGCGAGGAAGTTGTAGGAACCTCTGTGAGGGAATAGCTTGGAGCTGTTTCTTTTTTCCCTGCCAAATATCCAGATCCTACACTAGCTACCAAATTAAATCAGAGAGAACTGATAAAATGTTCCTTGGAACATATAGGAAGGTAACCTCTTCTTAACATGCAGAAATCATTCCTGTTTGCATCACTGAAATCTTATTTCAGAGGCTAACTGCAAATTACAAGGATGAGGAAACAAGGTTAGGGGAAGGAGCCTTTCTCATGGTAAAACTCAAGGGTCTGGCAGCCAAATTTCAGCTTGGCAGATAGCATGGCTGTGTTATTTCATTCATATGTCACTAGGCAGCATAACTGTAGCATTTTCTTTATTTTATTTTCATTCTTCTTTGGTTCTGGCGTGAGAGAGAAGTACCTATCAAAACATTGGTACCTCCCCTGCTCCCCTGTTTATTTCACCCATTTGTTGCATTTTGTCTTAACTTAGAAACAAAACATATGAAGGCAAAACCTATAACTTTTTGTCTATATGTGCAGTACCTTGTAGCATGGGCATCCTAGTCCTGCCTGCGGTCTATGGTAGGGGTGATACATAGGTAATTATCAACTAATGTTTTGCTATGCTGGTCTTTTTGCTGACCTGTTTTTTTGCTTTGCTGATCTTCTCTTACTGTGTTGAAGAAATCCTTCTTTTCCTCGCATGCATGAATTGGCTACAGTTTCACTGCCAGTCCTTTTCTAAATTCTTAGGGAAGTTTTGTGTAAGCAGATGCTATTCCCAGAGGATGGGCAGAGAGAAGTGTTAGGCAGCCAAGCAGAGGAAAGAAAGGTTACTTTCCCTGGAAAGTAACTGTGGTTCTTAGATTCGTTTTTTGCAAACATATTCATTTACGCTGTGGATGTTTGCACAACAAGAACTTGAGCCAGACTTGTTTCTTACCGAAGCAATACCCAGAGGGGGCACACATGCTCTGTCTTCCCTCCCGCTATGTACATAATCAGAAAATGCCAGTGCACTATGCTGATGCTTGACCACAGAAGTACCAAAAAAGAGACTCAGCGATGGAGGAGGAATGGAAAATAGGTAGCAAATGTATATATAGATAATATAGCCCAGAGAACTGCAGTTATTGCTGGATAACTTATCTTCTCCTTCGAGAGCCAGTCCATAAATGCTGGGTGCCTCTACTACTTCTCTTCTTTACACACTCTCTGGGGATGTGGAGCTGGATCTTAGAATCTTTTTAGGAAAAGAAAGACCAAGGACATTATTGGTTCAGGGTGCCTTGGCTATAGCATAGATGTGGTTGAAAGAGTGGAGCCCCAGACAGGGAAGCTCCCTGCAGACACCTGGGATAGTAACTGCTTTGGCCTCAGTTCTAGTGCAATACAGCCCAATCACCCCCTAAGAAACCAACCACGACATCTCATAGATCAGAACACACCAGTAAAAAATGGTCTTCTTGGTGTCTAGTATGCAAAGATGACTCAGCCATAGAGGTGTGAGGCTTAGGAAAGAAAACAGATGTTTATTTCTTAATTTGGATAGAATTCTGACACAAGTGTGAGGAATAATTTTGGGATGAGCCCAAAGAGTTGTCCTAGTTGGGAATAGGACTGTATAGATGACAAAAGTCTGAAACTCTCTGAATCTCTGCTAGGTGGAGGAAATGATCCCAAAGAAGGATACATGCAACAGGAGACAAAGGCTCAAATGGCTGTCCCAGGCTGTCCTTGGTTGCAAGGACCAAATTCAGATCCTATGGAAGTAAGAGGTCTCTGACCAGAAGAAAAATTATCATCAGGCCATCACAAAACATTCTTAAGCCATAGTTTGCTTTGTAAAGGCCTGGAGGCTTTCCTAAAACTGAGCTTCTAAGACTTAAAGGCTTCTTTTTTTTTCTTCTCATCAGTGATCAACCGGACATGGTAGTACATTTCCTGCAGAGCTGGTCTCTGCCTGGAATCTCTCTTGGACACATTTCTCTGATGAGCAGAGCTAAGTTTACTTTTCTAATGCGGGACCTCTGCAAAGTAAGGCACGACACGATAGGTGTGATTTTCACTGTTTCAGTTTGGTCACTAGCACCAGAAACTCCTACACCTGTCAAAAGTGAAAAGCACTAAAACATTGCCCCTATTTCTGGATCTGCTTATATAGAATTTGGAGCATTTGAGGTATCCCAGCCCACTACTTTCTGTCTAAGAATGCAAGGGCTGGATAGTTCTTATCAATGGAAAGCGTATGTGCTTACCTTAGTCAAGGTGTCTTCATCAACAGTCAGAAAGGTTCATCTGGATTAAGTTACCTAGCTAAGCAGAACAAAGTTTTGGTCTGTCATGGACTTACAAGGTCAAGAAAAGGCAGGGGGTGGGGAGGTTGGGACAGGGCTGGGAAAAGTAGTAGGAAAAGTCAGTAGGTCCTTTAAAGGGAAAAGTCAACTTCTTCATTTTAGGGGATGGGTCAACTTTTTGCCAGAGAGCTAAGATATTAGTCTTAACACTAATGATGTTAAGAGAGGAGACCTGGTTGATGAAGAAGTGATGCTGAAGTAGCTGGTACTGGTAGGCTGTCCAGTAATTATCTGAAAAATTGAAGAGAGGATGCTCCAGTCCCCAAGGCTCTGCAGGGAACTTGACGTATCTTGAATCATGAAACTGCCAGAGACGCTTGTTTACATTTCCAATATGAAAGCTGGAAGGTACTACAAGGCCATGAAAAGGTTCATACTGCAAATCATACAGGCTGTAAGTAGGAAAACAGTGGGAATTTTATGTGTTTTCAGAGAGGTTATGCTGTAGGCTTACGGCTATGGTTCAATTGGCCTCTACAGATGAAAAGAAAAGAGAGTAAAGGAACTGACACATTAGCGTGCTAGCTTACTCAAAAAAAAAAAAAACTTTCTTCCCAAATGAGCTGCAAAATATTACTTTAGCTGTCCCAGAGAGGCTGAACAGCTAAAAGCAAGGCCAGGACATCAAGAAATCTTCTAACTCAGCAAAGAAATAAGGGAGTACTTAAGAGTGGCTTTGAAACACCAAGGGTAGCCATAAAAGTCCTCAAGGTTACCTTGTGATTCTCTGTTTGCATTGCCTGGGTGTTCCTATGAAATAAAGAGCATGAGTAGTGGGAGGAAACCAAAGGAAGATCAGATCTTAACAGGGCAGCATCCTGTCAAGGGAGACTACATCCCCTCTTTGCACACAGCAGCACAGCCTGGAGGGAGAACTCTTGAACTCACAGCTAGGCATAAAGTTACATTTTTGGGTAGCTGAAACAGGGCAGCTTTTCATTTTCTTTTATCCATGATCTGTCTAAGGAGTTCTCTGGGAGAGCACCAACCTCCTCATTTTAAAAGATGGGGCATTCTTGTGCCAAGGCTTATTCTCCCAGGTCTTAGGTACTGCTTTTGTATTACTTACCTTTTAGCTATGCCTAGTAATAAGCATGATGATCTCAGGGTGAACCAGATACACACATAAGACATTCAATGCTTATTGGAATAGTGAGTGTATTATCAGGGCAGAGAGGTATGCCTATGGAGCAGCTGCTTCCCTAAAATGTGTGCTGAGAGTTTGGGAGTGAGAATCCCATCATGCCTGCGACGACTGTTTTAAGATAGTATTGGAGTCAACATAAAGGAAGAGGAAATCTTCTGGTCAGTGCTCTCCGAGCAGTCTGGGAAAAGGACATCTGGATGTGGAGATTATTCACATTTGCCACACACAGCCAACAGAGGAAAATAATTTCAAAGATACTGACAGAAAGCCAGAAGTAGTAGAGCTGAGAGGAAAAGAGGAGCGCTGGGGAAGAAGAACCAAGCACATGAAGGTGGGACACAGTCAAGGGCCTAGCAGGCCATTCTTGGCCAACACGCACAGAGAAAATGAAGAAAGTCGAAAAGAAACATAGAACAATGCAGTATGTTAAGGATTTGCTAGTAAAGGAAAGTCAGTAAACATATGGGTACAGGCAAAAAAAAAAAAAATTGGCAAAGCTCCCCAAGCACTGTGACTCGCCATG